GTGTATGTTTGAGTCTATGCACACAACTGTAATATTGCCTTGTGAATCTATGTACATTTTTTAAATGTTGATTTTCCAAAAATTCCAGTTATTTATATTTTGCCAAAAATTCATAAAGATATTAATAACCCCCCCAGGAAGATCTATAGTGTCCGGGATAGGTTCCCTTCTATCCTCTCTATCACAATATGTTGATAGGTTTTTACAAGGTTTGGTCAAAAAATGTCTAAACTTTCTTAAAGATACAATGAGCCTATTAACTATTTTAAAATAATTTTAATGGGAAAGTAATTTTATTATGGCCACTTGTGATGTTAGTAGCTTGTACACCACTATTGCTCATGACAGGGGTTGAACAGCTACTAAATATTTTTTAGAAAATTTGGTGAATTAAATAGTTTACAAGTGGATTTTATTTTGAAGGGAATTAATATCATTTTTAAAAAATATATATTTTGGTTTGATAATCAATTTTATCTGCAAATCCAGGGGACAGCTATGGGGACTAGGTTTGCCCCGCATTATGCCAATTTGTTTATATCACACTTGGAGGAAATGTTTATTCTCCCTAGCATAAACTCTGGGGCAGGCCTAGTCCTCTACAATCGAAACGTTGATTATATTTTTATTAAATGGAAGGGGAGTCAGGACTTACTAGTGTGTTTTCTTGATTCCCTTAATATTAATGAATATAATATCAAACTAACATGATATTAGTAATCAATAAATTTCATTTTTAGATTTAGATATTTTTATTGAAGACAATATTATTAAAAGCTAAACTAATTTTAAAATTGATGTTAATAGTTTTATAGATTTAAAAAGCTGTCATTTTAAACATTGGCTTGTTAATGTGCCGAAAGGACAGTTCCTTAGATTATGTAGGAACAGTACAGATTTCAAGGATTTGAAACAACAATTTTTAGACAAAGGATATGACCCTGTTTTTATTGATAATGTTTGGGAACAAATAGGACAAAAAGATAGAAACAAAATAAATTCTCCAGGCACTCAAGGTGTTAAAGGCGCAGGCAGTTTTAATTAAACATAGTAGGCCAAAACGTTGCTGCTCTCTTTTTTGTTTCATTAAAACTGCCTGCGGCTTTAACACCTTGAGTGCCTGGAGAATTTCTTTCATTGCCTTGACGTCTTGGGACTGCTGGTTCTGCTCCGGAGCACCGGGTGGCTGCTGGAATTGAGTGCGGCTCCTACCAACGCTTTTGCAAAAAGATAGGAACGAACTTTTAGCTTATACAAAGACAGATACTAATATGAGAATAGAGAACTAATCAATTCTCCTCATTTTTTATTTTAGTTCAAATAATAGGGCTGTATGTAACACTAGAAAAGCTACAATCTCTTAGGAAATTGTGTGAAGTTTTCTTGCCTCCACCAGTAGTCTACAACTGGAGTGGGCGGACTAACTGGGTGGAGTGGCTTGAGTAACTATTGTGTGGTTGGAGTGGCTGGAGTAACTGAAAGGTTGGACTGGGCAGAGTAACTTTATGGAGTGGGCAGAGTAACTGTGTGGCGTGTTTGGAGTGAGTAAAGATGGAAAACATTACACTAACCAATTGATTGATCAAATTTAAAAAGTGCACATGGCAAGCTTGATAGAGTGAGAAAGGCATTTCAACTTTTATTTATTTATATAGCACATTTAATTGCAATGTTGTTGCCCAAAGTGCTTCACAGCTACATTAAAACATACATTTATAAAAACATTAGCAGGTGGATGAAGGGCCCTGTCTATGACATCACATGCTGCTCCAGTCTGGCACAGGTCAGAGTATTTTGGCGGTTGCCATCTTCAAACGGTCGTATTTTAATAAATCCTACAGCGAAGAGCTTTATATTGTGAGAATCACAAGACCCAGACCTACATTTTGATGCATAGTATGTCTCTGAAGTATTAAAATTGAAGGCACAGTCGCAGTTTAGAAATTGCCCTTCAAATTTGAGCTAGCTAGAGTGGAGTTTCAATGAATGTCAATGGACGGTGTGAGTTGCAAACAAATGATCATATTGTGAAATCTATCAGGACTATGGCTTAGCTGTGGACATGTTTAGTGGCAGCAGGGATAGCTGAATGTTTTGATATAAGATTTGTGTAGGTGGGCCTGAAAATAAGGGAGTGGTGGCAGTTTAGAAATCATGTCCTGATTTTCAGCTTTTGCCAGCTCCCACTCTAGCTTTGCCATTCATTCCTATGGGACAAATTGCGCCACAAGAACGACGATATTCCGTGAACCATTCGGCAAAACGTTCCACAAAGTAATAGCACACCAATCTGGAACAATCCGCACGTTTCGGTTTATTATGGTCTATGTAGTGTAAAAACTGTGGGAGGAGTTAGGGTGGTAAATTTGGCTATAATAATAAGAATAATATATGTGAGATAACATAAAGTGGTCTTGCTATGCAAGAACACTTAATTATTAAGAAAAATTGGCATATTTTAAAGAAAAACCCTGATATTAATCTCTTTACTGAAAACAAGCCTAAATTTATTTTTCGTGGGGCCAGAAATTTTAGACAAATTTTAACCAACATCTTTCTAGATAACGAGGATAATGGTAGCAATTATCTTAGTGATGGAAAGGGCTTCTCTTACTGTAGATATTGTGTAGGGAGTAGATTACGACATGACAAAAGTAGAAACGTGAAACATTCTCATCAAAGATAGCGAATAAAGAGTATTAAATTCAACCCTGATCACGTGCAAAACAGTTGATGTTATCTATTTAATAACTTATCCTTCTGGTCATCAGTATGTGGTCAAAACAATTAGAAAACATGTTTAGAAAACATATAGTGTTTCAAAACATTTTGACGAAAAGCACAGAGGTAATCTGGATGGTTTACAGTTTTTATGCTTTTTATCATAAAAATATTTTATATTATGAAAGGATTAGATATATCTTTTTATTGGAAGTAAATTAATCTGTTTTTGTTTTCTTTCATTTTCTTTAATGCTCTTTTTACCTATTTCTCCCTAATGTTTATGGTAATGCATGATGTTTTTATATGCTTTTTAATAAGATTTATATATGTTTTATGGGCTCCACCAATATGCCACCAGAATATGTATGTGTTCTTATTTACATAAGGATTACGTTGTCGTTAGGATATAACTTCACGCTAAGAACACTTGGGAGGTGTGCGTTATAATTGAAGCTGATCAAATGAACTTAACCCGATCATATGATCGGCAACACCGGAAAGACATCATGAATCAGGGATGCCAAGTTGACCGCTGACCCGGAAACAACATACCGAGAAGTGACGTATCAGGAAGTGATGTACCCGGAACACAACGACAAAGGATTTAAAAGGCGGACATTGAGCCGAGAAGGTTATGAAGCACTTTAAATAAAGACTTTAAGTTGAAACGCGTTAGTGCAGTTGCGTATTGGAGATATTTTAATTATATTGATATTGATTTTAATTTATTTTAAAATAAATCTCTTCCTAGCTGCTTTCTATTACCCTTATTTTGTTTTTATGGCAATCTAAGTGTTCAAAGATCCAGTATCCAGTGGAACATTCAACCACCTGATCACAGCAACGTTTTATACCAAAAGGCGCTGATAGTCTGAGCCTACTATTGAGTGGCTCAGCAACATGTGAGTGGGACCACTTTGTGTTTATTTATTTATTTGTTGTTTATATACAGATTTCACTGTGGTCTGCAATTTATTGTCATTTTACCGGTAAGCTGTATCAACCTTATGGTAATATTGTGTGTGTGTGGGTTGTACATACATTAAGTTTTTTTTACAGTGTGCTATCACCTTTTATTCTATAAACTCTTATACACTTTATTTTTTGTGGTTGGGTGACCTACACAAGGTGATTGTAGCACCATACTTCATTTTGAACCTTTTTTATATTTATAGTTTTATAGTGAGTCTATGAGAGTGTTACATTTTAAAACGAGTTTATTATCCACACTCTTTGTGCCTACCTGTTTGTGGTACCCACTTGCGTTAATGCTTTAGTGTTTCTGTCACCATTTTTTTATATAGACATTTGTAAAAAAAATTAAAAACTGAGGCAAATATAAGGTAAATGAAATACAAAACAAAAATATTGTACAAGTACCATCGATAAATGTATACTTTTTCTTGGGGCCAGTGTCAGAGCTCTAATCCCAGTATAATCTGCTGGGTTTGGCTGGAGATGCGTAAAATGACCGTGATAATGAAAGGCCTGGTGTGGGGGGCAGGGATGGAATTGCCCCCCATGTCAGGGATGATTTGCAGGCTGTTGTCTCACAGCCCAATGCTAAATATATTTTGTAATTATATTCTTTTATTACAATTGTATTCCAGTTCTTGCAGTAATAGTCTAAACTTTTCCCTATAAAATTAAGAAAGAGAGTTTGCCGATTTGGTCTCAAGTCACATTATCTGCATTTGTCCCGGGTTGTCTGCAGGTTGTATTTTAAAATGTAGGAACTATCACCCATGCTTTGCTAGTTCTTTAATTCTCTTCTATTCGCCTTGCTCACAAACCAAGAATTCTGACATTTATTGCCCTGTTTGCATTAAGGATCCCTCGCTCTACCTCCCCCCCCTTTATTAATTTGGCCCTGTCACCAGCCTGTCACTAGGAGTCCCATGAACCTTGATCTTTCCTTATCATTAAATAAACACACCATCCTCAGAGCGTTTTCTGGATTCAGATACATAGGATTCGCATTGCAAGGAACTAGCACCTTACTGAATCCCCCCAATATGTGTACTGGAAAATGCTCACGTTTTGTGGGGCTCTCCTTGCTCCCCATGGCGTTTCTGTGCATCACCGCAAACCTTTTACTAATCTTTCCGGATGGTCAAACAAAATATACAGACCACATCACCATGCAAGTCTGGCTCATGGCTGGCATTGTTGGCGGGGGGCTATTTGTAAGTATTTACTTCTACAGTTATAGTCAGTTTAAGGCCTAGACGGGCTTGTTCGAGTATTGAGATACCCATTGCGTGGCTGGCCATATGCATGTGTTTTTTTTTTTATAATTTTTCTAAAATTTCGTACGATTGGGAATTATAACCATTGCTCCTCTTCTTTCACAAGTTGGTTAACCTGGGGTATCAAAACCAGTCTTCAAAGTTTAGTTTCTAATTAGCATGTTGTATCACTGAGCAATGGGTGACACATCATTCCCGTGTGTTAGTGGAATTTCCGAGATTGGGATTGGACACAACTGGTCTAGATACTTTTAGAATGACAGATAAATTATGTCAACAAGAAATCTGGCTTATAATCATTATTACCCTGGCAATCGTTTCTAAAAAAATAAATAAATGACCATTTGCCCATACAAATAAAATGAATAAAAAATATCATACAAATTGATAAAACAACTGCCAAAATTGGTCAACTTATCTGGGCAGGAATATAAACAACGGCACGATTTAAACAGCTAAACATAATCCATTCTGGCTTTATTTTCTTCTTAAACCACATGTAAACAATATCAAAATCAAAAATGTATTTAAAAAAAAAAAAAAAATGGGAGACAATTGCTATTTTTCTTATACAGAAACAGAACAGAACAGGATGCAGGCGATTTGTCGTGCAGTAAACAGAATTTATAAGAATAAAATTTCCAAATCTTTAAATTCATTGTATAGTGAGTAAACTCTGTGTCATGATTTAAACAGAATTTATAATATATCGTTTTAATAAAATCTCCCTTTACAAGCTGTACATGTGCAGAGTATTGGGACAGTGATTAATATTACACTGAATGCCTTTTATTTATTATTCATACATACAGGGATAGTCAATAAATTGGGAATCGTAGGGGGATTAACAATTTAAGGTCTGGCTATTTTCCCAGCTCTGCTAATTTGGACAAAAAGTTTAAATTTTGGTCAATCCCTGATAATTCCCAGTTTAGTGAATAACTGTTGTTTTATAACCGGTAGTTTATTCATTGGTCAGTATAAATATTATTCAACTTGTACACTTAACCGGGAATTAAGGAAATTACAAAGTTTAGGTCAATATTGTGAGCTGGAAGAATATCACCATTTTCGTCTAAAATGTACAATTTCTTTGTCAATTATCCACAATTTCTGATTTAGTAAATAATGCCAAGTTTAACTAGAATTTTTATCAATTTGAGGTGACTTACTAATAATAATTTATACAACTAAAAATGTAATTTAGAACAATGTATCTTATTAAACACTGACTGATTTCTAAACACATTTATTGTAGTGTAAAGACACATTACTGGGAGTATTATTGCTGTGGAGCTCTGTTATACACTCAGACACATTACTGGGAGTATTATTGCTGTGGAGCTCTGTTATACACTCAGACACATTACTGGGAGTATTATTGCTGTGGAGCTCTGTTATACACTCAGACACATTACTGGGAGTATTATTGCTGTGGAGCTCTGTTATACACTCAGACACATTACTGGGAGTATTATTGCTGTGGAGCTCTGTTATACACTCAGACACATTACTGGGAGTATTATTGCTGTGGAGCTCAGTTATACACTCAGACACATTACTGGGAGTATTATTGCCGTGGAACTCTGTTATACACTCAGACACACCAACAATAAAGAGCTCCCAGAAAAGAGGGAAATTAGGAGAGAAAGAGGGACAGAGCGATTTGGGCTCAAAATAGGGACTGTTCTCCTAAAGAGGGGCAGTTAGGTGTAATGGAAGTGTGAAATAGGGATGCCTTACGTATGCATGCTCTTCTGAATGCGTGCACGGCAGACCACTCAATCAACTCACTCAGGGTTGCACTTGCACAGAGAGCAGAGCGTGTGTAGTAATGCACTAACAACACAGAGTGTCCCGGTGAATTCCTATCCAGAGATATATAGCAACAGGGAACAAACTGGATTTGGGACTGTCCCTTCTAAGTCGGGACTGTTGAGGGACATTTACTTATAACAAATTATATAACTCGCAAACTTTTTGCGCTCTGGTTTTTTATTTTATTTTAAGTTCGACAGGTATGATGTTTTTTTATTTGGCCTTTTTTTGGGGGTTGAAAAATGAAGATTTTGGAAAAAAGAAGATGTCAAATGGTAAGTTTAATTTTTCTTTACAGGTTAGAGATTTTATTCCCCCCTCACTATTTTTTAGGGTGAGGGGGGTAGGTAGGGGGTCACTTTTTATTTAGGGGGGTGGGTGACTAGGGGCTTAGGGACCCCTAGTCACCTTTGATGGGGGAATTTGTCTTAGGGCCCCCACCCGCCACCCAGGGGTGGGGGCCGGAGAGAGGACAGCAGGTCCCCCCATTGTAATTTATGGGCCCCACCCACCGTGCAGGGGTGGGTGCCAGGGGGAGGACAGTAGGTCCCCCCCTCATTATCTTTATGGCCCCCACCCGTCGCACAGGGGTGGGGGCAATATTTTTTTATTTTTTTTTACTGCTTACTAGACATGCCCCTACTCGCGGTACAGCAAGTAGGGGCTGAATTTACTAATACTAAGTAATCTTTACTTAGTATTAGTAAATGTGGCTGAAAGACCAATTTAGGTCTTTCAGCCTTTTAGTAGATAACTCCTTGATACCGTGGGAATTAGGGAGTTATCTACTAAGTGGCTGCAAGATGTAAAGCTTTGCCCCGCCCTGCAATTAGGCTAAGAACACTCTGATTGGTTGGTTTAAGCCAATCAAAGTGCTCTTTGTCATTTTACACAGCGTGGGAAAGTTCTTTGGAATTTTCCCATGCTGTGTAATTTGACTCATAACACTCTGATTGGTGTGCTTGTAATCTAACCAATCAGAGTGCTCTTTGTGTAAAATGACACCCTCCACAGGCTGCTCACTGCTTACTAGACATGCCCCTACTCGTGGTATACTCGCGGTATAGCGAGTAGGGGCTGAATTTACTAATACTAAGTAATCTTTACTTAGTATTACAAGAAAGAGATGTGCACCTTTAGGTGAAAAATTTCCAGCCAAAAGGATACACAGAAAAATGGGTTATTGGGGTACTAAAAAGGGCCTGACCCTTATATTAACCAGTATACAGAAAAAAGAGAGGAGACAATATCCCTGAAACACAGGAGACAAATCCCCTCAATCCTAGTACCCCTTCTGGAGCAATGTATTTGCCCACTACCGTGTATTACAAAAAATAATAAAGTTTTATTAAAGATCAAAAAAGTCTCATATGTGAATTCATAATACACCAAACTAGTATTGGCAAAAAAATGAGGGAACACAGAAAAGAGCAACCTAAAAGGTATGTATCCAATTCGTGTAACTTGATACCACTTTTCAAAATTACAATAAAGAAGTGGTAAAAAAAGAGAAGAACCACTTCAAATTAGCAACAGTATCCAAAGGGTTACACATAATAGTCTAATAAGAACAGAAAGTGCATTCCAGTTCCCTCAAATTTAGTCTATATTATGCCAATGAATTGACTCCTCACTGTTTAAATAACTATAGATATAAAAATATGTAGATACATGGTCCTAGTATTGTTCTACAAGTATAAATATATATATCCTAGTCATAATCAAATCAAAAAGTAGGTAAATCGAAAGGATAGTAAGGTACCAGTGAAGAGAGAATAATAAAGTGAGGAGGAAAAGAAGAGAGTTTAATAGGTCAAAAGAGACCCTGGACTATAATTCACGAAGTATACAAAGCGTGCAAAAAGCTGTGAGTGTCCATATCTACTCTCCCCCCCCTACACACACAAAAAGAAAAGAAACCCAACG